ACTGAGCCACCCAGGCGCCCCGGGCATAAAACTCTTGATCTCAGGGTGGTGAGTTCAAGCCCCACACTGGGTGTAGAGATTACTCAAAAATAAAATCTTTAAAAACCAACCAACAAACAAATATATTCTGGTGGCATTAGAGATCTGAAAGCAAAACTATACAATATAGGAGCTGATCTTTAGGAATTTGGGATAGTAGAGGATTATCTGTTTTAGAGATTTTTATAAACTTTTTGTTATGGTCATTTTCAAAATTACACAGAAGTAGAGATAATAGTATAACAAACCCCATGTATCCATCACCCAGCTTCAATTACCCAGCTAATTCAAAAACTTTCAATTAACAAAAGACGCTAAAAAGGAAGTGAGAAGGCTGTCCCTCACAGACTGGGGAAGACTTTTGCGATCCACATAACTGAAAAAGATTTAGTATCAATCATAAATAAAGTACTTTTTTTTAAGGTTTTTTTTTTAAACATCTTCGGGATTTTTTTTTAAGATTTTATTTATTTGTTTGACAGAGAGACACGGCAAGAGAGAGAACACAAGCAGGGGGAGTGGGAGAGGGAGAAGCAGGCTTCCCGCTGAGCAGGGAGCCCGATGTGGGGCTCGATCCCAGGACCCTGGGACCATGACCCAAGCCGAAGGCAGACACTTAACGATTGAGCCACCCAGGCGCCCCCTTTTTTAAGGTTTTATTCATTTATTTGAGAGAGCAGGAGCAGGAGGGGCAGAGGGAGAGGGAGAGAGAATCCCAAGCAGACTCTGAGCCAAGTGGGGAACCCGACACGGGGCTCGATCCCACAAACCCAAGATCATGACCTGAGCTGAAACCAAGAGCTGGGTGCCCCACTGACTGAGCTACCCAGGTGCCCTGAGAGATTTTCAATGTAGACGAAACAGCCTTTTATTGGAAGAAGATGCCATCTAGGACTTTCATAACTAGAGAGGCGGAGTCCATGCCTGGCTTCAAAGCTCCAAAGGACAGGTTGACTCCCTTGTTAGGGGCTAATGCAGCTGGTGACTTCAGGGTGAAGCCAATGCTTATTTACTCTTTCGAAAATTCTAGGACCCTTCAGAATTCTGCTGGCTCTCCTCTATAAATGGAACAAAGCCTGGATGACAGCACATCTGTTTAAAACGCAGTTTAATATTGTGAATATTTTAAGCCCACTGTTGAGACCTACTGCTCAGGAAAAAAGATTCCTTTTAAAATGGTACTGCTCATTGCCAAGGCACCTGGTCACTCAGGAGCTCTGATAGAGATGGACAAGGTTAATGTCTTCATGCTTGCTAACACAACATCCACTCTGCAGCCCCTGGATCAAAGAGTCACTTTAACTTTCAAGTCTTAGTATTTAAGAAATATATTTCACAAAGCTATAGTTGCCGTGGATTGTGATTACTCTGATGGATCTGGACAGAGTAAGTTGAAAATCTCTGGTAAGCATTTTTCTTTCTTTTTCTTTCTTTCTTTCTTTCTTTCTTTCTTTCTTTCTTTCTTTCTTTCTTTCTTTCTTTCTTCCTTCCTTCCTTCCTTCCTTCCTTCCTTCCTTCCTTCCCTCCTTTCTTCTTTTTTTTTTTTAGATTTTATTTATTTATTCATGAGAGACAGAGAGAGAGAGAGGCAGAGGGAGAAGCAGGCTCCCAAGGAGCAGGGAGCCCAATGCGGGACTCGATTCCAGGACCCTGGGATCATGACCTGAGCCGAAGGCAGACGCTTAACTGTCTGAGCCACCCAGGCACCCTTCCTTCCTTCCTTCCTTCCTTCCTTCCTTCCTTCCTTCCTTCCTTCCTTCCTTCCTTTTTCTTTCTTTCTTTCTTTTTCTCTTTCTTTCTTCTTTCTTTTCTTTCAATTCCTTAAGTATTCTCTATACCCAACATGGGGCTTGAACTCACAATCCTGAGATCACGTGCTCTACCAACTGAGCCATCCAGGTGCCCCCTGGACTCACCATTCTAGATGCCATTAAGAACATCTGTGATTCAATAACGCAAAATATTTTAAGAAAAAAGGAAAAGAAGAAGATAACAGGAGAGGAAGAAAAGGGGAGTATGTCAGAGGGGGAGACGAACCATGAGAGATAATGGACTCTGAAAAACAAACTGAGGGTTCTAGAGGGGAGGAGGGTGGGGGGATGGGTTAGCCTGGTGATGGGTATTGAGGAGGGCACGTTCTGCATGGAGCACTGGGTGTTATGAACAAACAATGAATCATGGAACACTGCATCAAAAACTAATGATGTAATATATGGTGATTAACATAACAATAAAAAAATTAAAAAAAAAAAAGAACATCTGTGATTCATGGGAAGAGGTCAAATAGCAACATAAATAGGTGCTTGTTTCAACAGCACATACACTAAAATTGGAACGGTACAGATTAGCATGGCCCCTGAGCAAGGAGGACATGCAAATTCATGAAGGAAAAAAAAATCAGGCGCGCCTGGGTGGCTCAGTCGTTCAGCGTCTGCCTTGGGCTCGGGTCATGATCCCGGGGTCCTGGGATCGAGCCCCCATGGGGCCTCCTTCTCCCTCTCCCTCTGCCGCCCCCTCCCCATGCTCAGGCTCTCTCCCTCAAATATATAAAATCTTAAAAAAAATTAAGTAATTTTTAATGAAGATATGCACATTGGTTTTTTATTTTTTTCTTTTTAAGATTTATTTATTTGAGAGAGCGAGAATGAGAGAGAGAGAGTACATGAGAGGAGGGAGGGTTAGAGGGAGAAGCAGGCTCCTCGCTGAGCAGGGAGCCCGATGCGGGACTCGATCCCAGGACCCTGGGATCAGGACCTGAGCCGAAGGCAGTCGCTTAACCAACTGAGCCACCCAGGCGCCCCTTCGCACATTGGTTTTTTAGACATAATGCTCTTGCACACTCACGAGACTACAGTATAGTGCAAACATAACTTTTATACACACTGGGAAGCCAAAAAATTCATCTGACTCACTTTATTGCAATATGCGCTTTGTTCTGGTGGTCTGGAACTGAACCTGCAGTATCTCTAAGATATGCCTGTGTTGGTCTCTCTAACCTCCTACCCTTTTTCTCTGGATCTCCCTAACTCTCTTCACCTTTTTCTTTCTCTTTCCCTCCCTGCGTCCCACAAATTTCTGGATCCTCAGAAGTGAAGGCAGTGTGGGCGCCAGGAGGCAGGCACCTTGCTTCCAGCTATTCTTCGGTGGGGGGAGGGGAGGCGTCCTCCTTTCTACACTCAGTTTCTCCTTGGGTATCCAGAAACGGTTCCTTTCTGCCCTCCTCCTTTCTGTTGCCCCCACAGGCAGGAGTTGGGGCTCTGTGCCAGGGATAAGGCTGACATCAGGGGCGTGGCAATAGGAGGGAGACTAGGGGAGACCTATGTGGAGGTGACCTTACCACGTCACCCCCATGGCAATCCAGGGGAGCATAGCCTGTGCCCTGAGCCACAGACCCAGAAGGACTATCAGTGACCACCAAACCTTTATCTCTCTTCTCCTGCCCCTTGTGAATCCAAGTGGAGAGCCCCCACCCAGGCTGGCCTCTTCTTTCCCCTCCCTTGTCCCCATCTCTCTCTTGGTGAGGAAATTCTGAAAATATGAGGGAAGGGACTGGAAACTCAACCTAGAGGTGCTTGGAAGACCTGCAGCGGTGGGTTTGGGGGGTATACATCTTCAGTACCACTGAAGGTAACTCCGTGTAAGTTATGGCAAAACAGATGCCGTTAAACTCTGTGTAGTTCAACTGAGGGGTATTTATTCTATTTGAAGCTGATTACGCAAATGTCGAAGAACAGAAAATATGGGCATGGTTCTTTTCTACATTTTAAACATGTTTCCATTCTTGGGATAGATAAATAGATATGAACAAAAAACTCTACCTACAGAATTACCATTAGAGTGAGAATCATCCCAGGAGAGGGTGGTTGTGTGATTGGATCAGTTTTATTTGAAGAGGGCAGCTCTCCGACCAAATAATACTAATATATTATATATTATTTAATAGAGACGCAACATGGGGTGGTGGTTAAGCAAGTAGGCTCTGCCCGGGGTTCAAATCCCAGCTCTTCTACCTACAATGTGGAATCTTAGCCAAATGAATCATTAACTGCTCTGTGCCTCAGTTTACCTTTCTTTGAAATGGAGCTGATTTAGGATGAAAAGGCATTAATACCAGTGAGATATTAGAGCGGTGCCTGGTATAGAAAACATGCTCAGTGAAAGGTAGCACTGTTTTTTTAAATAATGTACCCACATTCCATCTTCATTTATCCCATTGCCGTTTACCAGGTATTATGATTCATGTATGTGGTCTTTATAATTTTCCCCTTAGTGTTCTCTTCTCTAGACAGATGAAAAAACTGAGGTTCAGAGAGGACCTCTGTAAGAGTCCGAAAAGGGTGGTAGTTAGACAGTGGAGGGAGATGAGTTTGCACATCAGACCCAGGAGGGTTTCAATTCCAACTGGCCCAGCTTGGCCCTACAGGAGACACCCTCGGTGGAAAGCTTTCAACGCTCAAAATGGGGAGTGATCACGTTAGCTGGGAAACCCGTGCTCTCCCTAGTCAACAAACATAGTTAGTGTTCCAGCGCCTGCACTTGAAATACGTCACTGAAACACAGCCCTGCCTCTGGTGTATCAGTAGGGGAGACAGAGGAGTAAACAGGAAATCACAATAGGGAGAGAGGATGGATTGTTCTGCAAGGGAAAGTGCCTGGCACCTTGGGAGTCAGCGGCACCAGCCAGCACGGGGCCTGGGGGTGGGGTGTGTGGAACTACTCAGAGGCGGCCTCCAAGTCAGGACCGACCTGGAGAAGGAGTGTCAGGGGTGGGGTAGGGTGTGTGTGTGTGGGGGGGGATGGGGCTTCAGAGAGGGTTTGGTGGCGAGGAAAAGGCCGAGAGGGGGATGGTGCTCTGGGGCCAGAGGATGGGCAGAGTGTGACAGACAGTCGTGGGAGGCCTGCAGGAGAGAGGGGGGAGCAAAGTCCAGGTGAGGAAGAGCTTGAGCAAAGACAGAGGCCAAACAGTGGGGTGACTTCAGGAACCGTTTGGTGCTTGCAGGGCGCGGGCTGGAAACAATGCTTGGGTGAGTCTTGGCTGTTCTGACTGGAAAGCGGGATTTTTCTGGGGGATGGGTTGATGAGCCCAAGTTTCCAACAAGGTGAAGGTGCTTTTGAAGACCCATGAGACGCAGAGTCTGACGTCTCTGGCAGGCATGCGGGCAGCGGTTAGGCTTGGGCAGGGCAGGGAAATGTGGGGCGGGGGGAGTCCAGGAGAGAGAAGGTCGCTGCAGTGGGGATGGGCAGGAGGGGCAGTTCCTACCTGGTACCTCCAGCTTACCCGCCAGTGGAGACAAAATAGGCACATGCAGAAATCCGAGAGGTGTGAAAGTGTAATGATAATCACTTCCCAAAGGAACTGGATAGATTCAAGAAGTTTCTTTCGTAAATAAATACACACACAGAGGCCTTGAGAAGCAGGAGGTGGTTATCCTGGGAGGTGGACTCGCAGGTGACTGTTGGTTTTCCACTGAATGCTTTTCTCTATTTTCCATGTTCTTTTTTTTTTTTTTTAAAGATTTTATTTATTTATTTGTCAGAGAGAGAGATTGAGAGCACAAGCAGTGGGGGTGGCAGGCAGAGGGAGAAGCAGGCTCCCCGCTGAGCAAGGAGCCCCCTGCAGGACTCCATCCCAGGACCCTGGGATCATGAGCTGAGCTGAAGGCAGATGCTCAACCGACAGAGCCACCCAGGCGTCCCTCTATTTTCCATGTTCTAATGAGAATGTGAAATCCCAGAAGACAGACAAAGGACACAGTAAAAGTTATTTACACACAAGAAGAGTCTTCAGTATAGAGCCAGATGTCACCAAGAGGTCAGAGGTCACCAGGAAGAATGAGGAACTAGACGGGCTTTGGGCTGGGGCTCTGAAAGGGAACAGGTGGCCTGAGGAAAGCAGTTCTGCCGGAGGGAAGGGGAGGAGTGGGGTCCATGGGGCAGGCATTAGACAGATGGCACGGAAAGGGGAATATTTGCGGCCCCTATGGCAGGCAAAGGCAAATCTTCCTAAAATAGAAATAGCTCCTAAAATTTTATAAGGAAAAACGCAAAAGCCCAGTATAAAAATGGACAAAGAATATGCAGAGACGGCTCACAGAAAATGAAAGGACACGCAAGCAAAACAATTTGCTCAGTTTCACTTGCAATAAGAGAAATGCAAAGTACAAGGACACCGAGAAGCCATTTTTCTCCTATCACATTAGAAATATGCAAAAGTTTGACCACAGACCGCGTTGACGAGGCTGTGGGGAAATATGTACTCTCTTATATTGCAGTATAAACTCCCCCTATATGGAGGGGAGTTTAATGTATATACTGAATTACTGATGTATATACTCTTTAACTCAACATTCCACTTTTAAGGGCGCCTGGGGGGGCTCAGTCGGTTAAGCGTCTGCTTTCTGCTCAGATCATGATCCCAGGGTCCTGGGATTAAGAGTTGGGCTCCTTGCTCAGCAGGGAGTTTGTTTCTCCCTCTCCCTCTGCCTCTCCCCCCAGCTTGGGCTCACTCGCTCTCTCTCTCAAATAAATAAAAATCTTATAAAAATATATTCTGCTTTTAGATATTTATCCTATAGAAATAGCTGCATTACATAAAATGACATATGTGTAGTGTCATTCATTGTAGCATTGGTTATAATAGTCAAAGATTGGGAACAACCCTCAGTAAAGAGTTGGTAAGTCAGTGATGAGACTTCACTACAGTGAAATCCTATGCACCTATAGAAAAAGCATAAGGAAGGGGCACCTGGATGGCTCAGTTAGTTAAGCATCCAACTCTTGGTTTTGGCTCAGGTCATGATCTCAGGGTTGTGGGATGGAACCCTGCATCTGGCTCCTCGCTCAGTGGGGAGTCGATTTGGGATTCTCTTCCTCTCCTGCCCCCCTGCCCCTCTGCATGCACTCTCTCTCTCAAATAAATAAATAAAATCTTTTAAAAGATCATAAAGAAGCTCTCTGTGCACCAACAGAAAAATATCTCCAAGGTATCTATTTTAAATACTTTAAAAAATAAACTATTTTAGAATAATTTTAGATTTACAGAAAAGTTGTGGAGATAGCACAGAGAATTTCTGTATCCCCACACCCAATTTCCCCTATAAGTAACATCTTACCTTAATACAGTATGTTTATTACAATTAAGGGCCAATATTGATACATTAGTATTGACTAAAACCCGTACTTTGTTGATTTCCTTAGTTTTTACCAAATGTCCCTTTTCTGTGCCAGGATCCCATCCAGGATAGCACATTATGCTTAGCTGTCTTTTTTCCTTAGGCTCCCCTTGGCTGTGACCCTTTCTCAGACTTTCCTTGTTTTTGATGACCTTGATCATTCTGAGGACTACTGGGCAGGTGTTTTGTAAAATGTCCTGCAAGTGGAATTTGTATGATGTTTTTCTTA